TAAAGTTTGACTTCGAGTCCCCGAGCTGATTTCGTGGCTCCTCTTGGGATACGTCACAGTGTATTCATATTCTTTCAAAGTGAAAGGAAGCGACCTATATTTCCGTACTCTAAATGGGTCCGAATAAAAATGTCGAAGATCATGTTGAACGTTTTATTGTCAGACTTGCCAAAAGTGCGCTTCAACGTTACCAGTGCATGATTTGCTTGAAAAGCATTTTTTCATAATTAGTGTAAGAATTTAGATCATAAATTATCAGGGCTCCGAGATCTTTTTTTAGCTTGGTTCACTAATAGAGAGTAGTGACTTCAGTTGTATGCATAGTCGGCAATAAATCTCATATGGGCTACTTTACACTTTGAAGTGTTCAAGTTTAGTCACTTTTCATCCACCCAACTTTGAATTGGAGTCAGGTCCTCCCGAAGTGCTAACTTATCATCGTCGTTGCAAACTTCTCACCAAAGTTTCACATAGTCAGCGAATAATAATAGATCAGACGATACTTCATGACGAAGGTCATTCATGTAAAGTAAGAAAAGACTAGGTTCTAGTACTGAACCCTGAGAGACCTAACTAGGACATTCTGTAGCGTGAGAAATAGTGAAGTTCATCATTGCCTTGAAAAGGCCGTATGAACAACAAATTCATGATTACTCTTCAAAACAGGAGTAACCAAGAAAATATCCCCTTTATGAGAAGAAAGTAGAATCCCTAGGAAATCTCTGACTATCCTGATTTTGGTTGGGGTAACCATATATCGAGAACCTGTGTACTGAACAGTGACTTCACTGTTAACACGTTTCGCAAAAAAAACATTCACCAACAATACATCAATTCAGAATACTGAATAACATAGTAGAGATTGTGTTTGGTTTCTATATTAGAAGCTTCAAACGTTTGCATTGAACTCATGATTAAAATTCTTTTGTTTTCAAGATGAAGAATGCTTTCAAATACAAGAGTATTGGACATAGTTCCACACTGTTTTACCTTAATTTACGGAGAGTTCTTGAGTCACTTCAATATTTATTAAAAACTAAATCTTTAGAGTCTGTCAAAAAGGGCCACTCCAGTTAACCTCATTAGTAATTCAGAAGCTGCACTGGATATCTAGGACATTTAGTTCCTATATATCTAATGTACAAATATTTTGAAGCTAGTTCTGAAAATGTAAACGGATTTTGAGATGAGACTCACTCATAAGAAGGCTTTTTTCTTGGGGCTTTGAAACAACGAGAGAGCATAAAATCACTCTTGTTTTCCTTCATAGACTGTGGAGACATTTTTCTCCAGATACTACCCATATAATATTGGGAAACTCCGGACCAGTCGAGGTTCCTAACCACATAAAACCATTCAAAATTAGGTAGATTGTGCAACATATACACTATTTAACGTCATTTTGCCATAAATGTAACTGATCTTGTCCAACCAAAATATACTTCGCGTGCTAGGACATAATGTAGAACATAGTCTAAGAGATATGAAAGGGAGAAAAGCGTGAGATGGATTTTGCCAACGACTCGGCAAGTACATTGACAACAACTAAATTTAACAGTCGTAGATATCGATAACGGTCAACGATAGCATAAGATTTAGACATTTCGACGCAACTAGAAGAGCTAGTATGGGATCTAGAATCCATTTTATTAAGGCTAGCTTGAAAATGCCTTACTTAGGTGCATAACCTAAACACACTTTGCTCTGGAATACGCATGTTGGACATTACCTCTGCATTATACGTACATAAAAGCCCAGTAATCAAGTTATTGTCGCTTCCCTAAAACAAACCAGTGCCGTGGATAAGATGAAATCAGTTAATGCTAGTGTCCAGCTCTACTGAATATAAGATGCCGTAAGCCGAATAATAAACAAAGCTATAATGGTAAGAAGGAACGATTCATTTCGTTGGTCACATTGCGATGGGGGCTAAGGAACAGAAGGAGCAACTCATGTATATTGAGCATGGAAAAACCTTGTATTCACTTCTAAGAGTGCCAATTATTCGTTGTTTTATGGCCAAAACAAGACGAATATATCGGAAACAACAACAAATAATTACCAATAACCCTGAAAAGTAAAGGAATAAGAATTCAAACTTACAACTTTGTTGAGCAGACATAGTGATAATTTTGTTTCCAAGACACTATGTTCGAATTCTGTTGGATATTCCTTGTATTTAGATTTTTAAAGTATATATTTCATGTCTAAGAATTCTCAAGGACTGAAATATTTATAAACAAAGTTGACTGAGGCAAAGGCCATACAGTGGCACTTCTGAGAACTGGGCTGAAGTACATGTCGAAACGTTTTCGAAATAATCAGCTGTAAACGACCTACTTGAGTGAATAAATTGGCACGTCTTGGAAGTAAATTTCGTCGAAGTTGCAATCATTCAAATCAGCCAGTGCGGCGTATCACATCACTACACAATGAATAGGATTTACCTACCCAAGTTTATCACTTACAAGGGTTTATAAGTAATGACATAAGAACTTCACACAACTGCGAAATCGAGACGCGATGACTTGACCATGCAGACATTGTCATATTATTTATCCTTCTGCTCTTTATACTAAGTATAGGATTTTCTTGCTACACTGAATGTTTTCTTCAACAGAACATTACCGACCACCACGATAGGGAAAGTCAGTACAAACAACAATGCGACCTGACGCACGATATTAAGGGTCAGATAGTCAGACTATAACAAGCGCACAAAATTGGATTAGGTGTGTTATTCTGGCAAGATGGACAAGTTAATTACTACCGGCCTCGACCTAAATTCAACAACACTCCCGTTCAGCCATATTATGGTCGACTATAGATTGAAAGGAAGAGCTCCTGTTTTTTAATGCGCAAATCATAAAGTAAGCCGAACACCTACATAATCGCTCCAGTTACTAAAGTATTGTCTTCTAGCTTTGCATCTGAGTTTTAAGAAATGGTTCTTTAACATGTAGAGTTGAATATCATCAAGATCTCCAAGATGACGCCCAAAACTTATCTGCGGAAGTTCTTTAATGTTCTACCTTTATGTAGTGTGTATTAGTGCATTTGTGACTAGTTAGGATGAAGGAGGATTGAGACACCACGATATTATTAACCCTTTCATCTTCTGAACTGTATAATTAGTAATCTTAGTGAATATATTTGAACTACATACGATGTGTACAACAGTCTTCCTCTTTGTCCTTCGTTCAGACGTTTTACGTAAATTGAGATAAAGTATTCCGACAATATTATCTTTCTAGCTGCACTAAAGTATGCATACTGATGACGATTTTAAGCAGTCCAAACGTCGTGGCACCTAACATTCTGGTAAAACCCTAACACAGCATATGCTTCAATATATAGAGAAATTCCTAAGAGAAAAGAAACTTGATGTTTCGTAGATTAATATTTAAGTTCTTATCTATGGTGAAAGATATACCTGTACCCCTCCAAAATTACAAGGTAGATGTATCTTCACCATTTAGCATTAGCATTCTGGATATAACTAAGTCATAAGGGGATACAAGTTTGCTTGACTAGCGTTAGAACGTAGCAATATCCTCGGGGCAGTATATATTTCTCCACGTCCTTTTTTCCTTTTGATATATTGGAGACTTGTAAAAATATTTGCGCGTCACGGAGTATATCCAGACGTCTTATAATGTTCCCGAAACTCCACTCTGTAGCTACTTAAGTTAGCACCTGCAGTGTTTTGTAGTTCACTCATTTCAATCTTCTAAAGAAGCCTAATTACCCTTTCTTTACAACCCATCAATGATCGATTACTAGTATTCAGTTGTCTCACGTGTACGAAATATATCAATCTACTTTGGATGATTAGAATGTGGTAGGGAAATTCCAGGCTAATGTGTAATGATAGTTTGACAACTTGATAGTTTCCATCGACAGATATGTTTCATTTTTGCTCCATATTGCGACTCTGTACAGAAATACATGGTTTGAATGTAAAAAGCAACCAAAGATAGAAGAACAGATTACATGTACACGCTAATTTAATACTCTGGGAGGAGTTTAGTCTGAGCCTGAAGTTTCAAGGATTTAGAGGTCTAAAAACCTTCGACTTCTCTGAGACTTGCAATTGTAAGGGGCTTGTCCACGATTTCTTTGCTCGAGGTACCTCTGTTGTCAAGATTCGTCAGAGATGATGAATGGTTGGATGGTCTCCATCAAATGGCATCTTATTGACCCGGTTTTACGAATCAGGGGACATGAATCCATTATATTTAAAGGGGAATGATCTTTATTCCTTATTAAAGTATGTGAAAGCTTCTGTAGCTTTCCATATCTTTTATTACAAAGTTGCGATAGATTGTCCTATCACGGCTTGATATCAGTTACTGATGTCATTTAATTTGTAATTCACTATTACACTTGTAGTTTTGTGTGTGATAGACTTCAGCTGTAAACAAGTATTGTTACTTTATTACTGGACGAAGAGATAATTATGGATCGATCGGTGGATTGAGTGAGATGGCCTTCACAAAGCCCTATCATATCAAAACCACTTTCACTCGGCTTTCAGAAATTACCTACTAACCGATATAGACATCTTTTACATTAAGAGACCAAACAATCATATAAATTATTATATGCATCAAGTTTTAATGATCATATTAATTATATATTACGGATTTATGGAAACGTTCTCAAAGTAAATTGGTGTTGTGAGTATTGAGACAAATACTGGACAATCAACTGTTATTGGTGTAAAGTTTAAAACTAAACCACTAGCAAATTGATGATATGATCCTATCACAGCGTACTATAAACACTGTTTCACATTAAATTCATGACAAGTATTTCTATTGTTAACCACTCAAATATAATGTACTCCTGTGTGTTTGATAGAAATTATACTGGTTTTCAAAGATGATAGGACGTCAGTTTTGCTATTCGTTCATAAGTTAAATATGAAGCTCGCAACCATGATTGGCCGTCAGAACATATTTTAAGGACAGTGAATCTAAGAATCCATTGGCCTAAAAATTAGTGGCAACCTCAATGTCTATTTGCTGTTTTGTACGCAATAAAAACTATCCAATTCCTTACTTTGCCATTCTTGATTGCTGAATAATTTAAGCCACTGAAAATCCCAGCAAGTGATTATCACCTTAATCTCGACCTATCACTGATACGTGCATGTGAGTATGACCCAATAAGCGAGAATCAAGTAGAAGTAGATGCACCAATGGTAAATCTAATCAAGCTAACATTCTTTTGACCTACCAATCATTCAGTATTCGTATATAATTCGTTCATTTTCGAGGTTTTTCACTTACTTTAAGCGCTTCCAGCAATTTTTGTGTTGACGCTTGTTAGAATGAGGTGGAATTCATTTTTCGCAACCCGCCCAAAAGAGTTGGTTCCGGAGTTTACGTACTTGGGGTATATCGTAAAATTAGACGTCTTCTGTAATAATGTGAGTTAAACATTGTTTGTAGACAACTTCTACTTGGTTTGTGCGTACTTTTTTTATTAAGTTTAGCATTGTTATGTGTTTATGACAAGCTCTCGGGTATAGTTCACTTAAACTAGTTAATAGGATCGTTATTTTGTGAAATGACTTCTGGTATAATTCGTCCAAGGGATTAGATTATTTTCTTGGGTTTCAGCAGCTAGTTGTGTTTCATGATTCGTGGCCCTACATAATATACCCCAATTTTGGTTTCTTTATTCCAAATTCACTTACACGTTTTTATTGCTAAAAAAAATAGATAAGTTCCTGTTCTATCATTTCACCTATTACCGCCTGGTTTCTCTTGGTTTTACGCTGATTTATGCTGGTAGCCTAGTCACATCGGTTTTCATGTTTACTGAATTCAATTTCGAGACTAGTTCTAAGGGTGCTACTAGTCTTAACTTTCATATACCGACCAAATGTTTTTGGGTCTCATATTGACGTATGGATAGTTCAGTTTCACAGTATTTTTAATGTCAGTTTTCGTCGTATTTGTTAGTGGTCATAAAGTTCTGTAGTCCCAACGAAGATTTTTTCTGAATAATGATATGAGCTATTTATTGTTGTCCCGAAATCCACTGCATTGTTTTCACGTCAATAGACAAACATAAGCATAATAAGTATACGTATGTAACAATCTCGTAGTAGTACGTACATTTATTTGTACGTCGGATATATATCGCACCGCTATATGCTCCGTAATGCTTTGGGAATACGAAGATTTGAATAAAGGTAATAAGCACATATCCTGTCACATCTGCAGAACAGTGCTTACATACTACAAAACCATCCAATAAGCACTAAAATTGGGCGTATAGTAGTTATTAGGTCGGGCTGTTTGTTGATCTTTTCAGTGGGATAACAAGTGCACGCATTACATCTGTGCAACCAATGATCATTGTTGTGAGCTATGCTGATCAGCGTACGAACCCGGCTAAAGATGAAAGCTCCACAACCAAACCATCCAGCTCAGAGAACAAAACCACCAAAATCATCCACCTGAGCTACAAATCTCCATAGTCTGACTAAGACAATTGTTTTATGATTTAGGCTTCATCGTTATGGTTCGTTAGCGGTCAATAACTTGGCAAATATGCATCAGTCCAAGTTGCCACACACCAACACAGCAAGATGAAATATGAAGTTATGTTTGAATTATTTCTTGTAAAGAGGAGCACTGACTAGTTTTGTAGCTCAGTATCCAAGGAAAGAAAATAAATCCATCTGCCCTGGTGTGACTATTTTTAAGGCTACCCACCAGCTCCAACAACTGATCACAATTATCGCACACACCCTAGCTAAATTGTCTGTACTTAACATAACTCAGTTCACTAGTCGATGACTACGTGGGCTGGCGTTACTTTTCCATTTTGTCATCCCTAACTTTCACCCTACTCATACACCGATCAATATAGTAGTGGTTGGACGCTTATTAATTTATTTAAACACGTAAGCATTGGTACTAGGAGGCACCAATTGGATATGCGCCACACAAGTCACTTGGTTTGTGTGGGCTGTGATACTGTCCGGGTGCCCAAACCGAAGTAGGTGGTTCTCTTAGGGGGCCACACCCAGAGCCTTCGATCTGAAGGTCTAACCCACAAGGCAGTGGAGCATCGTAAGGAGATGCAGTCCCATGGTAGCCGATGACCAATAATTGGTTCATACGCCATTTGTTCCCGCAGGATACTGGAGCCCATGTACACCATTCGTTTAGAATCAGGGTTTTCCAACTTCCCTAGGTCCAACCTCTATACCCACCAGCCCGATTCAAACGCTGGATATTCGCTTTCATACTTTCATTTTCGTAAACAACAGAGCCACCACGAGAAGGTAGTAAGATTTTGTGGTCGATGGCTCTATACGCGTGGCCATATGAGAGCATTTCGAGTGGGAGAGCGGACTCTCCCCACCCTCGGCCGTACCAGGGCATTTGGGGGCCAAGAAAAGAATCATTCCTAATTGCTGCTTTCTAGGTAACAATTGTCATTCCAAAGCGTCGTAGTTATGATACGTTTTAGGCGTATATCTATAGTTTGGACGTGATTGGTAAGTGTGGACTACCTGGTTGGGATCCGCGAGATGATAGCAACCGATGGTTAGAGACCTTGAATGACATGGCTCAAATTCGTTTGCAATGGCGCAGGTGCATCAACTTTTTGTGTTCTCCTAAATCCTAATCTTCTGAATTCTTTGTGTCCCTTTTTTCCTCTTTCCAAATTTATTTCACTGGATTATACTCCTTGAATAACATCTTCATACCCTAATGTTTCCGATTACTGTTTATACCCTTACTACGTCTACCACTATGGGATTTTAATCGACAACTGCATCTCTGTGCTAATGGGGTATGGCAACTCGAACTGAGGTACGTTCTTACGAAGTTCTACGTTGTTACTGACTGATCCACCGACCCAGTTAAAGCTTGACATGTATCATTCTTGTTACAGCTAGATTTTCCATAATCGCGAATCAATACCGGTAAATACGCAGCCCAACCCAGCGACATCAGTCAGCAGGTTCATAAAATCACTAAGCAAGAATCGGGAATGTAAGTGGCAATGTTACTGCTTATTCTATGAAATTGAGTAATTTCTGGTAGGTCCGTTACCATGTTCTGTAATAATACGGATATTATTCCTGACTGTCTACTTGGGTTCAGTGAGAATTATATGACTGCCTTACATCAAGTTATTGGAATTGCAAAGCATAGCCACTAATATCGTTTTAAACATACCCTTCCCTATGGACTATTATAAAAAGATATTCTCAGGAAGGTATATAAATAATTCATGATCACTCTAGCAAATTCGTAACGTATACTTTCTTGCATGGGTGATGTATTGACTTTTTATTATAACCATATTCATACTAGACAAGTTCGTCTTTGTTATTTATGCCGTTTGCCTCCAAGTTTACGCATCTTTAATTTTCGCATTTGTGTTACTTCAGGGACGGTTATATACACGCTGGTCAAGTCCTTCCAGCCCAAACTATTCTACAGCCGTTGCAACAGCCTTTGATAATGGATGCAAACGGTGCTGCTCAACCAACTACATTCGCCGTCCAGGCCAGTGATGGTAGCCTAATCCCAGTTCAACTAGCTACGTCTGCTGGTGGGGGTCAGGTTATCATGTTCCTTCCAAGTGCAGCTCAGCAAACAATTTACACAACTCAGCCTATAGTGTCTGCTGCAACCACTTCTTTGGATGCTAATCTTACTTCGGCTCAAGGGCAGATTATAGGGACAACAGTTGAAGACGAAACTCACATACTTCAACAATTACAGCAGTCTTCGCAAGTCCAGGTTATTCATCAGACCCAATCTGGATTATCTCAAGCCGTTTCAAACACTCAAGTTGTCCAGGTTTCTAGTCCGCAACCTGAAACTGCTATCGGTCAGCAGGGAATGTCCACACAAGCGTCCTCAACAATATCACCTGGTCTTACTCCTGGTGGTGAAGAACCTCTTTACGTTAATGCTAAACAGTACCACAGGATTCTAAAGCGTCGCCAAGCACGAGCGAAATTAGAGGCACAAGGCCGCATTCCGAAGGAAAGGCGGAAGTATCTTCATGAGTCCAGACATAAGCATGCTATGAACCGCATACGAAGCTCTGGTGGTCGGTTCTTTTCTGTACCGTCTTATTCTGATGCAAATAACAGTACTGCCTCGACCTCTTCCAGCAATTCATCAGCGATAACTTCCTTCCAAACAAATGAGGATTGTAAAACTAAGATTTTGTCTAATTGACGTGAGTTGATTCTCCTTTATATACTTCCTACGTTATTATTCGCATTTCATAGATTATGTGTATGAGACTCCCATTTGTGCAAAATATCTGTCTACGGGTCTTTTCGTACAACTGTTGCTAAGTTGTAATTTCAGATGTATTCCAATCTTGAATTTAGAAATGGTCACAGGTCTTGTCAGTTTGAGGTACTTGCAATATGTTAACTAATGGATATAGGTCTAATAAGCGTCTTTTCTATCTTCAACCATTCGTTCATTAATTTGAAAACAGAAGCTAAATCTCTGAATAGTCTTTACATCAGTTTCAACCCTAAACATTTTTTAAAGGAAGATGTTCCGTGATTTCACGGTACTATTTTCCCATTTTCATGTATTTAACCGCTATACAAGTAAATTGCAGTTTTTTCGCAAGATATTAATCGTCTTTGTGTTATTACATTCCCAGATCCTGATTATACGCTGCTAATTACCCCTTGGATTCAACTTTTCGACAATCTGGAAAATGATCCACCCCCCCCTTAGAGATTAAAATATGTTAAATTATTACTTGTATACAAGCTGGAGTACTGAGTATATTCATATTATTGCCTGGATAAACGTTGGTAATGATTATACAACTTTTGGAAGTGCCCATATTGATTATCTCGTCATTGTTATCATAACCTCAGTTTTGTACACATCTATTTTCTATATGGTATTTCCTATATTCTCCCCATGCTTGTCTGTAAATATTTATTACGACTTGAAACTTTTTCCTATAAAGTTGAATCTTTTGTTTTAACTTTACTGTCTTTATATTTACGATACTAATGATCTAATTTACACAAAGATAAATACACTCGTTTTTTTCTTTTCTATTAAAAAATATTTTTCCAAATAGTTTTGTTTTTTATACATTCTGCTAACATTTAAATCGACGTGTTTTGTATCCCAAATCCTGGCTAGTGATATCGGTCGACATGGTCCGTTAGCTTTGATAACGTCAATTTACGTACCATGGGCTTTAGTGGCTTTACAAAAATGTAATAATCGAGTTGCACTTTATCGATGTCACTATTTCGCCAGCACAGTTAATGATGAATTTTGATAGATGAAACCTTTGGATGTAAGTAGCATAAGTGGGCTTATTATCCATATAATTGAGTCGATCTAACAAAATGAGTGTAAGTTTTTGGATAACACAGTAACACTGGATCCCATTAGGCAAAGTAATGAGTTACTAGGTTACATCTCTTTTTGTGTAAACATCATTAAGGGCTCTAAAACTGCATTAATTGTTAAAACCTATAATATTTCAAACCTGCAGTTGGATATTTCGAATCGAAATATCTTCTGTAGTGTTGAGTATTTTACATAATCTTGTTATGAGTTTGTCGCGTGGATTAGTAATTTCAGTTTTAAATGATTAAAACAATGCGGGGCAGTTATCACATTCCGAACTCGATCAATTTAGTCAAAACGTCCTGAACTACAGGTCTATTTATTGTATATATGCAGTGATAGGCATGTAAGAATGTGTCAGTCTGACTAGACCATGATCACGGAGGGCCATACTTTTGGGCATAGACTTCTGTAGCTTGGAGAGACCACTAGTTTGAAAAACATCCTTTCACAACTGTGAATAGAGCATCCTCTAGTCTTATAACAGATTCCCAATATAACTCTTCAAAGGTGACTCAATTGTCTTCTAGGCAGAGATTAATAAACTGGACTTTTGTCTCATGAGTTGCATTTGGCCACATAATTAGTGGGTAAGTATTTACCGTAATTTGAAAAAAAGGGAACACAGTTACTCTGTCGGATTGATGCCTTATCAACTGCAGTCTCGACCTCTATGTCCCTCCCTTGAGAAAAAACCCATGCTCCTAACTCTGTTATTGTCATGGCCGCTACTCCACAACACTCGTTATTTTACTGTTGAAGCCACATGAGTCTCGTTACGACAGTTAAAATAGTTATATTTTGGCTAGCGGTGGAATAAAGCAAGTGTCTTGTATCTCTTGAAGCATATTAGCTTCATATAAGTTCGCAAGTTTCATGATGCAAAATTAAATGCAGTTTAACTATGTGGGTAGTACCGTACAACCACAACAGCCTAACGCAAAAACCTGTGGACATAAAGTTTAATGGATGTTATCAAAGGTTCAACCAGTTCGACATTTTTAATTAAATTAACAACCAGTCAGTACAATACTAACCATGAAAGTAAGTTGCTTTTCTAACAATTTCTAGACGCCTAATATAAACATTGTACTAGGAAATGACTTGTCTTCTGAATGCTGAATTCCGTGCGGGACTATGAGTAATTAAGGTAACACAGTGGTTACAATTCCAATACTTAGTCATAAAATGCTAATAATAATAAGTTGCATAAAATCTACAAAATGTGTTTAACAAGTGATTAGACGCAAAATTAATATAATGTTGTAAGAAGACTTGATTTGTAGTAAAACTGATGCATTTGCGAAGTCCAACCTGAACAGTTATGTCGTATGTTAAATTGTCAAGGCATATTGTCTATGAACGAAGGTAAAATAGACAGTGATAATTTATTTATTTGGACACATGAATATTGGTACAAGAGAGCGCCAATATATATGCGCCACACAAAACAATGAAAATTCGAGAGGAATACAAAGAAAGAAGAAAAAAAAGCTAAGGAGCGCAAGAAAAAAAAGAGAACAATAACGAAGAGATTAGTGTAAGGTAATGTGCTAGTAATCAGGGAACGCAAAGGTACAATCGGAAGAAATCTTTCAGTTAAGGGGGACAGAACCACTTTTTATGAAGAAAGTAAAAGAAGGTTACAGCAGGATCGCCACTGGCTTCTATTCTGAGCCATATCTGATAACGTCTCTAGCCACTGTGTTGCACCATCTCTCAGACCCCAACCAGGGAGTCGTGAAGGACCGACAGAAGCCAGTCCTTTGCAGCTTTCTTCCATACCACGACACCATGTCATCCACTGACCACCTCTCCGCTTCTTCCAACCAGTCCCAGAGTCGGCAAATAATGCACGACGTGGAATTCTCTGAGACGACATTCGGAGAACATGTCCAAGCCACCGAAGTCGGTGTTTCAAGATGGTGACACCAATTGAATTATCATCTCTGTGCCCGAACACACGATACCGAGCCCCTGCATTACTGACATGGTGTTGCCACTGAATGTCAGCAATCCTTCGGAGACATCGATGATCGAACACAGAGAGTCGTCTAACGTCCTCAACTCGGAGAGGTCAGGTTTCACAAGCATAGAGCAAAACTGCTCTCACCGACGCGTTGTAGATCCGACCTTTTACAGCCAGACTAACATCACGAAGGCGCCAAAGATGGCCCAGATTGGCATAAGCCGCTATGGCTTTTACTATACGTGCATTGATCTCATCACTCACACCCCCACCAGCACTTATGCAGCTACCCAGATACACGAACTTCTCGACTACGTCTATCTGCTCACCATCCAGGGTGAGTACAGGATTGGAATCCTGCCAGTCTTGTAGAAGTACTTTGCACTTCGAAGGTGCAAAGCACATACCATACTTACGGACACTGATTGCCAACTGATTAAGTGCGGATTGCATGCCTTGGGCATTATCGCACAGTAAGACAATATCGTCCGCATACTCAAGGTCGACAAGTCTTTCTCCAGGCAACAGATCCACACCACCATTACTTATATCCATCAGAGCTGTTTCCAGAATGTAATCGATGGCAAATTTGAAGAGGAATGGTGAGATTGCGCAAGCCTGTCTAACCCCACTGCTCGTATGGAACAATGGAGAAAGGTGGTTGTATGCCCTCACTCTACCTGAGGTGTTTGTATATAGAGCTTTTGGGATGTTAATAAACTTCTCAGGCACACCCTTCTTCAATAGACAATCCCAGAGAACAGTCCTGTCCAACGAATCGAAGGCAGCCCTGATGTCAAGAAACACTACGATTGTTGGCCTTTGATAAGTATGACGGTGTTCTAACATTTGGTGGAGAGTGAAGATATGACCAATACATCCTCGATCTGAGACAAAACCAGCCTACTCCTCGCGAGTCAATCTTTCTCGGGTTTTGAACAACCTACGAAATATGACGGAAGTCAATAGCTTGGACGCAATCGGAAGTAGACTCATCCCCCGATAGTTGTTACAGGAACGACGTGAACCCTTTTTAAGGATAGGGACAACTATCGACTCATTCTACGACGTTGGTACACTCTCTAGTTCCCAAACCTTTGTAAACAACGTCGTCAATTCCTTAGTCAAAAATCACCACCATCTTTAAAAAGAGCCGGAGGTAAGTCATCTGGGCCAGGTGATTTGTAACGCTTCAAGAGTTGGACTTCCTTGCGGACTTCCTCCTCGTTTGGTGGACCAGTCGTCACCTGCCATGGAGGGCAGGACAGTCTGACCGATGTTGCCGGAGCAGCAGGCCAGTTGAACTGCCCTTCGAAAAATTCTGCCCACCGTCCAAGACGTCGATGGATGTTAGTGATTGGCATCCCATCATCCTCGCAGATTGTTTCACTCACACCAGACTTCTTGCTGCCAGTGACTCGGATGAGCTGGAAGAGCTTCCGGTAGTTACCAGATGCAGCTGCTGCTTCCAGGTCGTTAGCACGCATCGACCACCAGGCTTCTCGGTCCTTACGCAAGCTTTGCCCGATTTCCTTACGTAATATCCTTCGTTTATGGTCAAACTCACGGTCACCCGGAGTAGACCGACGGGCTTCAATAAGTTGTAAGGAACCAGAAGAAACCCAGTGCTTAAAAGCGGGACGTTTCGCAAACCCACAACTGACTGTTCCCGCCATTTTCATGGCGTCATGCAATTGCAACCAATGCTCATCTATACTTTTCGGTGTAGTGGTAGCTAGCCTAGAGGCTAGCTCGGTTCGCTACTTACTTGCAACAGAAGTTGCAACCAGCTTGCTAATATCAATCCGTTGATGGCGGTCACTTCGTTGTCCACTGAAAAGTAAGGCAAGATTAGCGCAGACCAAGGCATGGTCAGAGTCCAGATAGGTACTCCAAAAGGAGCGGCAGTCTTGCACAAAACCACGCCAGCGGTAGCTGATCGCGATGTGATCAATCTGAGTCCAGGCTTGGGATGCAGAGGGAGGATGCCAGGTGGCACATCGGCGATGACTGTGTCGAAAGTTAGTGCTAGCCAGAAACAGGTTGTGGTCTGTGCACAGTTGCAGTAGACGGTCCCCGTCATCTGACCTGCGACCAACGAGTCCCCATCGGCCACCTAGACGACTCTCTTCTGTGCCTAGACGCCCGACCTGAGCATTCAAGTCTCCGGCTAGTACTACAATATCTGTCGAACGCACTTTCTGGAGAAGAACTGATAACTGGTGGTAAAACTCATCCTTGATTGCATCCGGGCTGCAATCTGTCGGGGCATAGGCGGAGATGACGAAAAGACATCGTTTCTCACGCCGATTTCTTCTCACTTTGATGGAACTTTCTAATCTAACAGCACATAACCGACTGTTAATGGGGATCCAATCGACTAGTGCTGCCTCAGCTCTAGCGCTTAGTGCGACACCAACGCCAGCAAGACCAGACGAAGATGCCACAGGGTCCCCGGATAAGCGCACGTAAAACAAGCTTTTTGAAGCGACAGATGGAGATCGAATTTGTAGTACTTCGCCAGAGTCTTGAATACGGGTCTCGGATAGACAGCAAACATCGATATTAAGACTTTCCAAAGACATAGCCAGTCCTATCTGTTGTCTGATCTGCGTAAATGTGCGAACGTTGAAGGCAGCCAGTTTGAATGGTGCACGTGGTTTCAGAAAAACTGCTTCAGTCCTCGTATTCGGTGGTAACATACAATTTTCAACCGGACAGTGACTCGAGAACGTTTAGATACAGTC